TCCACGAGTCAGCAGCCAGCTACACCCAGTCCATAGTTTGGCAGCCTGGCTATCCCTGGTTTGTAGTACAGCACCCAGTTACTGACAGCATTTCTACATGTACATGTAGTTCTGCCTTTGTAGATTGTCAAACTTTGAATTCTTGCATTGTTAATACCTGAACCTTTATACCATGTCTTGGTACGTCATGAAACCTTGCCATGTTCACTCCAGTCATAAAATGACAATGTAAACCAGTGTATTAAAAAAAAATTGTGATGTGTCGTCATTAGTTGTAGTGAGTTTAACTTTAGCTAGGTAATTTTGTCGCCAAAGTCCTTGTTTGCCCGGTAAAACAGATTTAAATTCTTCTGTAGCCGAAGTGGACTTCATTTCTTTCCTGCCAAAATTGGGAGCGCGTCATATTCCCTGTCTGGCATGCAGTTGACAGCACAGTATGGAAGTTTGGCTGGGTTTGTGCATGAAATGCAAACAGATGGCTGAGACGTAGATTATATGTATCTTCACATTAATGAAAATGTTGTCATTTCACAGAAAGTAAATTTTGCCATATCTAAATTTGGTATCCAGCAAATAGTTTTCTATCTTGTTACTACCAGACGTTTTCTGGTACCTTCTCTTTTCATTCTGCCAGAAAAGAAAAAAATGGCTTGGTACAACTGTAAATACATGTATTTCTCTTAATAGAATAGTAAGAATTTCTGATGACTCGGTTGGTTTATACAACAGCAAATTAGAGCATTACGCATGGAGAGCCCAAATGCAGGTTAGCCGAACTTATCTTCTTTGGGCCTGTTTGTTTTACACAGATCTGGATCAGTGATCCTTACACTGGTTCCCACCATTCATTACGCGAGTTTTGGTGTCTGTACACCACCAACAGATCACTGATCTTGATCCTGATCCGTGTAAAACGAACACAGCTGAAGTAATAGGAATTCCTCTTGGATTGGTCATGTAACTAAGGAGGCTAAAAGTTAGATGTGCCAGACCTTCATTTCATCAGAAGTGTAAGGACAGGGAACCAGGCTGTAATGTTTGAACCATTTCATGCTTGAGTATACCGTAGGCAGATTATGTGTATAATACTAAAATATTTTGACTTTTAATGTTTATAATGTTAACACGGTACTGCATCTCATTCAAGAGAAGTGTTTTTATTAGTGATAAATGGGTAGTTTTGTTAATTTTGCCATTGCTACTAATTTTTCACTCCCTCACTTTTTCTTTGAAAGTGTTTTCTGCCCAGTATGAATGATTCTTCCGCCCACGTGTTTGCAACCATACCAAGCTTTTTGCATTAAGGGTGCAACCTGCATAGGAATTGAAGTGCATGCTTGCAGTCTTCCAGGACAAAGTCCTGCATACAATAGATGGGTCACATCATTTCTCTCCCAGTCCAAACTATCATGTGATGGAAGATGTGTAAGAAGATGTGGGTTGAACCCAAGGACTGACGCACTTGTTGCCCGTTTGAAATAAAATGACGTCCAGAAAAGCCGGTGGGTTTTGGGCAGGAGAAGCATTTGTATCCAAAAAGTAAAATTTGATGAATCAAGATAAAATAGAAAAAAAAAGCAATGAAATGTTTCAGAAAGATAATTACACTTGTTAGGGGTACTCTTTAAGTGGTGTGTTTGAATTTCTCTTAACATATACCCAATAACGTGCCACATCTCAAAGATTTCCTCCTGGAAAAGGTCACTGGAAATCTTGAAGCAGTCGTATGTAAATACATGTACATGTATAATATTAAAGGAGTGACTTTAGTGTACTTGTGAAGGATCATACATTACATTGGTAAAAGCAAGTCTATCTTGAGCCAAATTGGCTCATCAGGCCGATGTTTATCTCCAGTTTCCTTGGCATGAAACGACTGAGAATATTTCTATTCCCCACCCCTGGATGGGATGCCAAGTCCATGGCAGGTTGCTTCCTCAGCTAATGTTGGTACCCATTTATACTCCTGGGTGGAGAGAGGCAAGCAGGGGTGAAGAGGCTTGCCAAGGGCCACAACATACTGCCAGCAGCTGGATTCGAACCTCCAACCCTATGATTGGAAGCCACAAACCCCAACCACTTGGCCACATGCCCCCCTTTACACTGGTACATTAAATTGGTACATTACATTAATTGTATTGTGTATTTTAATTCCTTAGTAGAACCCCATTTTCTATTTTTTTTCATGGCTTTAGAGTAAAAAATATATATTTTTTGAATGCAATAACTCTTGGCTGTGATTTGTCTTTTCCAAATATGGTTCCTTTCCTTTCAGAAGGGCATGCAGCGAACCTGTCAGAGATGTTGCTGTTGGGGGTGGGGCAGTGAATTCCTGTGGAGCATGCATATAGACTAAGGAAACTGGTTGGGGGTTTTGGGGGAGTGGCGAAGGGTAGAGGGCACAGCCTTTTCTCTTACACATGCCATCTGCCCCCTGGTGGGACCAAGAGAGGGCACAGTTTTCCTAGCAATGGAGGCTTCTTTGGTGGGTACACGCTTTGCTGGATCATGAACTACAATGAAATATGCGCATAACAGTTGCATGGCTACTAACAAAATGAACACTCCCCACAAACACGGCTCTTAGCAAACTTGACACAGCCAGAAACTGGATTTCTGTGATTACGGACATAAAAAAAAAATCATTTATTTCAACTATATTACACAACCTAGACTTTCAAACAAAATCAGTTCAAATTTCACTCTTTTCTGTGTAAATATAGCCCTTTTTTTTCGCATTTGTGTTTTGCTTATTTTTTTCACAACATTTACACATGAAAAGGGATGCAACCTGCTATCATACATTTTGCATGACATCAGGTGGTCATTCAACAGCAAAGGATAAAATTAAATAGTTACATCTTATCAATACATATGCATATAAAATTTACATAATGAGCTCTAAGCCCACCACCAATCAAATACTGTAGCAAGTTCTGAATGATGAATATTCACTGATACAGAACAATCCACTCAAAACAAATGCCTCCTATGCATTTCTGTCTAAGATCAAATATTGTCATACTGAGAGATTCCTCACATTTCATCGTTGCTTTTAATGAAAGAAAAATTACATACATTAAAAAAATTACGCGTGCATTCCGTGAAGTTTCTTTTCGGATTTTCACCATTAAACTGCATGCTAAAATGTTTTCATTTTTATACAAGTGGAGAAATGACTCCTTAATTATGTACACATGGCACTGACTGCTGTTTTTTTAACCCACAAAGAATCCACCAGAATATCCACACCAGTCTTATTATAGTAAACACCCCTTTTTTTCACATGAAGTTCTTACAAAAATATCAAGTTTAGGTGAGTTTGGCAGATGGGATTCTGTCAAGACAGTGGACAAAGGGTGGATGATTCACTGCCGGGTTTCTGTGTCAGAAGGCTTCATAATGCACACCTCCACAAAAAAGCTAAAAAGCTCCCATATTCACTCTACAGACAAATCAACATCGACTGATGGTCACAAACCTTTTGAGAGCCCATTTACACATGTAAGCTGTAAAAGAAGCCCCTTGGTAAGAACACAGACCACCGTGGCTTCCTAAGGAACTGTTTATACTGAGAGCGAACAAATTAAACGGTAGGGTGACAAACTACTAGGGACTTGAGCAATTTCTCCATACCGTAATGGGACTGTCCATTCCAACTTATCAGTGGTCTTGGGTATGATGGCTAGACTGGCTAGCTGGGTTGAGTGCTTCCCATCATACCTTGGATTCTTCTGAGGTGCTACTGTTACTGTGGTGATGTCATTAACATAATGATTTGCACACAGGACACGTTTCCATCTTGCAAGTGCATGCAGATGTCGCGAGGCATACCCTTTTCTGTTGCAGGGTTTCTATCACTACTCGTCTGTGGACATGGGCTGTCAGGGGACAGAAGGAGTTGGCTTGAAAATATGACCCTCTTGAGAAAGCAGGAAAGGAAGAGGATCAAACAGAAAAGATAATTGCTTATCACAAAAAAAAGGTCACCACAATTTTCCAGTGCCAAGAAATGTGGTGACCATCAGCTTGGCTTTGGGAAAACGGTCATATTTCTGCTTCAGGATTTCGCAAGTTAGTGCATTCACACTCACATAATGGTTCATTGCTTGCAGTTTGTTGGTATGGTAAAAAATGAACAGAATTGTCAAGTGATATCACTAAATGGTGAAACAGAATTACTGACAAACCAAAACACTGCTGTCCATCAAAAATGAAGCCTAATGTATCTTGGGCAACACGGCATACACCTTTTCTGATTTTCCCCCTAATTTTGCTTAGGGCAATTTTAAATAACTGGGTATGTGAAGTAGCAACTCAGTAAAATAGTTTATATTCTATGGTTATTTACATCTGAAGCTGAGAATAAAATCACAAAGAGACAAGTCTAATATACGGTGTGAAAGTTAACATTGCCGAGCGGCACTGGAGCCAACTAGATAGAATTGCAGGTCATGATTTGAAGGTTTACAGTCAAGAGTAAATACAATGAATACCGGATGGTACCTGGAGGCTTACATAAAACAGGGAAAAACACTTGATTAAACACGGAGGTACCTAACCTACTGAACATTACTGACAGAGGGTGGGTGGGGCAGATATTGAGGGTGCGGGTGGGCCGCTTAGCTATTTTCATCACTTTCATCACACTCCGGAGACAATTCCAACAGCCGACTCGGACTTCTGTAAAAGTGCAGAGATTTAAAATAAACTATTTCCAAATGCTTAAAATACATTACAAAAAAACTTTTCTGAATCTTTTTGGTGAAATCTCAAAACCTCAGGACTTCCATTCAACCACTAAGCTCTAATCTTTTCCGAGTTGCACAGTTGGTGTGCCTTGTTTCCTTTTCTCGGTGCCAAAAACCCTTATAGCCTGATTTTCAGCTAACCAGATATTGCCCCTTTGAGTTCCCTTTCTAGTCCCATGCAGAAGAGTCAAACAAACCTCAAGGAATTAAAATGTTGAAATAGATATTTACAAAATCTGGGCATGCGGAGTTCATCATACAAAATGCCAAAAAAAAAAAGACAAACAAAGAAAAAACTTCACCTAAGCCCTTGGCTCCAACACTACACCATAAATAAGGAGACAGTGGTTCAACAGTGCAGTCCAAAATGCATCAACTTCAAATTTTCCAGGACTCCCGGTTGGACCGGGTGGGGAGGGGGAAAGATTGATCTCATGGATCACTCCTCAACAGAACAGCCCCGGTACAAATTTTTTTTTACACCACAATTCTTGTTTAACAAGCCGATTCCAGACAATCCATTTTTTTTCTGTTAAAGGAAAAAGCTTATCACGTCCCCAAAAAATTCTCGACAAATCACACACAAGAAAGAAATAAACCTGCGTATCGCATTTCATCATTACAACTTGGATTCACTTCACGAACCAGTTAGTGTTTCTTGTCAACATGTTGGCCTACTCTGGAAACGGAGGGGAGCGGTCAGTAAGTCAGAGGCAGGCGAGAAAAGGCAACAACGTTATGGTGCAGGTAACACGCACGGCTGTTGACGGACTGGCTAATCTTTACTTGAACTGGGACAAAGGCTTCAACATTAAAAGACAGAATTCTAGGCCTACATTCAGTGTGTCGGAGGATAAATGCCAACCCAACTAGGTTAAAGAGCCATTGGCAGATTCCATTCACAAGTGTGGGTGCTCACAAAATGAATCTTAGAGTGGGTCTCACAGAAAGAACAAAGATTTCCAAACGAGACATCGGTGACAGTAAAAGGTGCACTATTGACTACATTCAACAATCCACTACGACAAATTAATGTCACAGCCTGCAAAGACACAGACTGCTCCCAATTGTTTTGGGACTATGACAGGTGACACAAATCTCGCATTAAAGCTGCAAGAGAAACTTCTTGATAGAGGAGAGAGCACACAAAAAAAAGCCACTCTCGTTGTGCAACTTAACGGTTGGCAGAGAAAAAATTAAGCCAATTACAGCAGAAAAACATTGTGTTAGCTTTAATCGTATCTTATGGTCTAGGAAGGCTAATGCTTTCTCATACATGTGCATTTTCCATTGTTACATCAAGCCAATCTTAACTGTGATACTGGCACGTTCCTTGTTTCGCTCATTCATTTCCCTGGTCTCTCAGAAATCAACAGAGGCTCTGCTCACAGAAAACTTTGTGTTTAGCATGAACGTAGGCTGAGCTAAAAATTCCTAAATTGGAAAGAAATCATCTTTTGGTCTATGTTTCGCAGACTTAAGAGGGAAATATGATATCATAAAAAGTTACTGAGCGTTTAACGTCTTCACAAGTCTCGTGCTGAAAACGTGAAAATTCATTTGACATCACCGAAATCAAAACGACTAGAGACAGTAAGTAATATCGAATCTGAAAAGAAAGGGGAGGGGTCACAGGTCCGTCAGGTGACAACCAATGTGAACGTGACCTGTCAATTCTGCTTGACATCAGTGTCTCTATCTATCGTTACATATTGACGACCTGATTGGAGAAGGTGCATGGTAGGGAGGGCACTTATTCTTGGCCAAATCCTTCTGTTTCTTCGATGGCAAACTGAAGCTTCTCTAGGAGTTGTTCGTAGCTCTTGTACGGTGGCAGATCCAGCCGGTTGAAGCTGTGTGATAGGTTAAAAGAGAGGCAGGGGTGAAAGTCTGGAAGACTTCATGCCACATGTGACAGCGCTTTACAAGCTGGGATTTCTTGTGTCCGTAACGAGGGGAAATGTTTTGGTGCATCCCAGTATCAGGTCATGCCTATACTCGTCTCCACGCTTGAGTAATTCCTGTTGAGTTTGTACACAAACAGGCACTTGAGCAAGTCTCAGGAAGTTCAGCTTGTGTGGAGCCCTCAAATGGCCCACTGACCACAGCAGATGCAATAAGAATTGTTGCCCAAATCTTGCACAAACAACCACCAAGCGCTAGCACTTTTAAAGTCCAACTTTTTTAAAGGACTCCGGTTCTTGTACTTTTTTTTTTAACTCTGTATTTTCAGTCAAACAATATTACTCCACCTAGAACAAGTCTGTAATGGACAAATAAAGTTGACAAATGTTTAAGAAAAAGTCCCTAGTTTCCAAGAGATCGCTAAACATACAACTACACAGAAACAGAGAATAGAACAAATTGTAGGAACACAACGAGACTAGATCTCTGCAAGACGTTTTGGTTTCTTGAATGCAGGGGACAGCAAGGGTTTGATTAGGTCTTAGGATTGATTCTTGGGTTTGACATTTCCCGAGTGGGTGTGAAACTGAACCTCAGGACACAGAGGGCTGGCCAGGGTAATGTTGCATTTCCATCTTATCCCTACCATGTGTGGCTGCGAGGAAGCCAAGTCTCCTTGCCGACTTTCTCCAGACAGAACTTCTGCGGGCCGTTACTCCCTGGCCATTGAATCAAAGGGACGGCAATTACTGAATGCTTGTTATCCTGAGAGATTAATCTCAGTCCAATTTATATACACATACATATCACTTCAGCACCTTAAAAGGAATTCATGTTATGTTAGCAAAGGCAGAACACATCACAGAAACATTCTTTTAATTAACAAAAAAGGCAATGCCGAAAATGGGGGTTGATGCATGGTCTGCTTCAAAGTAACCAGTCAACACTTTTGGTGACTATTATTTCACC